CTTCAGCACTGCGCCTCCTCTGATTCTCGGTTCCTCCTAGTTGTAGAACTTCCACTCAGCCAGCCTTCCTGTGGTTCTGGATGATGTCCGTTCCGTCTTTTAGTTGTATTTTTGAAGTGGTTGTTCGAGGCAGCAAACTCCGGTGTTAACCTATGCCGCCATCTTGGTTTCTCCTCTGGAAACCTTTAAGAAAAACTTTTTTATCATAAAATTTTTCAAAAAATATTAGAGAGCCTTTTATGATAAACTCCCATGGACAGATTACCTAACTTCAGCAACTAACTATGGCCACTCTCATTTCATCGAACCCCCGCCCACTCCCCACCCCTCCACTGAATAATTTTAAAGAAGATCGTGGACATTTATTCATAAGTAATTCAGTAGGGATGTCTAAAAAGTAAGAATTGTTTATACAATACCATTATCACAGTTGAAAATTTAATATGAATTCATAAATATCATCAGAATATCCAATCAGTGTTTGCATTTCCCTGATTGTCTCATAAATGTTTTCTCCTACTTAGTTGGTTTGTCTAGGGACCCAGACAAGCTCTCTTAAGTCTCTTAAGTTTCTAAATGTCCCTTATATCTACTCTTTTTTCTTTATCAGGAAACCATCTCCAAGTTTTAATGTTAAGAACAGAAAGCAAGTGTAAGAACCTGTTTCCTGGTGTGCTTCTCTGGTCACCAGGTGCTTCTGGAAGCATGAGAAGGACACAGCCTCTGGGGAAGGAGCTGGAGGACTGGAGACAGCGGTGGAAGGAAGAGTTCTTCTCACCTTTGTATCATTTGCACCATTTTTATCATGAACAGTTATTGCCTGTGAAGATATTTTTTCATCAGCCCAGTCCTAGAAGAAGCAGATAAATGGAATTGAGCTTGGGTAAAGGACCGGCGACAGGCACAGCTTGGGTAAAGGACTGGTGACAGGCACAGCTTGGGTAAAGGACCGGTGACAGGCACAGCTTGGGTAAAGGACCAGTGACAGGCACAGCTTGGGTAAAGGACCGGTGACAGGCACAGCTTGGGTAAAGGACCGGCGACAGGCACAGCTTGGGTAAAGGACCGGTGACAGCCGCACGTTAAAATCTGTACTGACCCAAGAGAGAAGTCCATTGGTCCCAACTAGGAAGAGAAAAAAAATGCCAAGGCTAGCCACCCATGGGTGTTCACAGATTGGAGTGAGTTCCCTGTCTGTGTGAGAAGAGGAACTTGGATGGAGGGCAGGGGGAATATCATTCTCCTGGAACATTAAATCAGACATGTGCAAGATGCCTGGAGGGCCCATTGTGCTGTAAAAATTGCCTGAAGACACGTTTTTCAGCCCAGAGTTCCTGAATTCAGAAGCATGAGCTTACAATTTCCTCAGAAAAACTGACCTCAAGTTTTGGCCAAAGAAGAAGTGAAAGCTGCAGCTAGGTTTCTCTACTACTGGTTTCACTTTTCTACTAAGATCTGATGTTTCCGGTAAGATTCGGTAAGATATTTCAGAAAGCCAGCTCAGGGGACAGTCCTAATGTGAATGGCCTCACTGCCCAAGCTCAGCACTCAATGCCTTTCCAAACATTATCTTATTTAATCCTGCAAAGTTGATAGTATTATGCCTATTTGGGGGATGAGATCCAAGCTCACGAAGAAACCATCATGACTCAGATTTAGCATCTTCATGACTACTATCCTCATGCCTAACAGAATGTGACCTTATTTGGAAATAGGGTCACTGCAGATATAAGTAGTTAAGATGGGTCAATAGGACTGCTGTTCTTATTAAAAGGGGAATGTTGGAGATGGACACACAGGGAGAACGACATGTGAAGATGAAGGCGGCATTCAGGCGATGCATTTATAAGCAAAGGAATACTAGAGATTACCAGCAAACCACCAGAAGCAGGGAAGAGGACATTAACAGATTTTCCCTCACAGCCCTGAGGAGCCAATGCCTCCAATACCTCAACCTCAGACGTCTACCCTCCAGAAGTGTGAGAAAATAAGTCTTTTGTTGAAGCCACCCTGTTATGGCAGCCCTAGCACATGAATATAGGCAGTCTGTTTTGTTCTCTAAATCATTATTTTTTTTAAAAAAGTAATATATATTTTACAAATTTATTTCAGGGAGGAAGGCAGAGGGAGAGATAGAAACATCAATGATGAGAATCACCGATCAGTTGCCTCTTGCACGGCCCCCACTGGGGATCGAGCCAGCAACCTGAGCATGGGTCCTGACCTGGAATCAAATCATGACCTCCTGGTTCATAGGTCAACCACTGAGCCAGGTCAGCCGGGCTCTAAATCATTCTTGGTCCAACCCTGTGGGCCTCCTTAATGTAGATCTGCTCCATCCTGCAACTGCTGCTGTTCTCCTGACCACTCTCCTGATAAATTATTTCCTAGAAATTGTAAAGAGAGACCTCAGCTATCCCTTCCACATACCATCCTACAGCAAAGCATTCTCTACTGGTTGGTTCCCCTAAATAAAGCCAAGGCAGAAGGGCCCCCAAAAGAACAGCTCCAAGAAATGTAGGGGCTCTGCACCAAGCAGACTGACCTCTCATTTCCTAATTGGGCATCAGCTATTTCTGGGCTTGCTGAGTGGCCCTAGTGACCCCAAGCTGGGAAAAGAGCATCGGTGAGGAATGACAGGATGTTATGGGCAGATGAACAGGAGGCAAGGACCACCTCCCTGAGGTGCTGTTCTGGCCACCGGCCTAGGGTTGAGGTCATGAAATTGGGAATTGCAGGTAGAAGATGATTCTCCCAAGGATTGATCTTTGCCTAGAGTTGCTTGGAATGGAGGAGGCTCTGTTTACACACCCTGAGCTGACAGACATCAAGCTTGGTAATGACTCTCAGCAAGGGTCACCTCACCAGCACTAAGATAAACAAAGAGAATACCAAACTCCCCCAGGGAGCACAGTAACAGAGCAGGGAAGAGAGAAGGGTAGGTGAAAGAGAAGACCATCCCTACACTGCACACACACATGCACACACATCCATGCAAGCACATGCACGAACACACATGCTTGCTCACTCCAAGCTATGAACAATGGAAGCCTGCATGGCGGTAGAGGGAAAACATCAAGAATATGAGACTGAGATTTGATATGGACAGGACCAAATCTTAAGTTGAACCAAACACAGCTGGAAATTCATGGAATCAGGACTGAGATGTCATTAAGGGAGCCCCCTATTCAGAAAAAAGGAGAATTTAAGACAGCATCGGGAGTGTCAATTACTGGAAACTGAAAACGATTCCATGTTTATGCTTCAAGGACTGAATAACAAGGCCTTTCAAAAGGATATCCCTTCCCATGTTTGTGCCTCCTCTTCTTCCACCACCTCTCCTCCGTTCGCACCCCTCACCCTTGACTCTCCCACAAGTCTTTGTACCTTCTGGATTGTGCAGTGCTCCCTCAGGTTTCCATGACTTGGCTCATGCTATTCTCTCTGCCTAGGATAACTTCTCTCTCTCAGTTGCTAAACTCCTACGTGTACTTCAAAACCAAGCTCGAGCACCTCTACCATCTTAATTGCTCCCTCTCTGTGTTCCCATAAGCCCTGGAATATAAACTCTCAAAGCACCTACTATGTCTCCTAGCACTTATCACAGTGGAATTGTATGTTGATTTGATAAAGAGGAGATAGGAACTGGGAAGATGAAAAGAGGGATGAACATGAGATCTTTCACATCTTATTATGACCGATAGATTTTTGAACCATGAATGCATTTCCTCTTTGAAGAAAATTAAAAATGTAATGCAATGAAAGAATTGTTCTCACTACTGTGCAGAGTACTACCCACAATAAAAAGTAATGAATTGTTGATACACAAAACAAATGGATTAGTCTCAAAACCTAATGCTGCATAAAAGAAGCCAGTCAGAAGGGCAGATGTACTGGATGGTTCCATTTGTATGAAGTTCTAGAGTGGGCAATATAAATGGTAACAGAAATGTATCAGTGGTTTTCTGGAATAGGAGGTGGGAAAGGAGATTGGGAAGAGGCGTGAGAGAGCTTCTTGGGATATCAGAAATATTTTTTACCTTGATTATAACGTGGTTACATGGGTGTAGACATGTGTCAAGACTCATTGAACTGTACACTTAAAATATGTGCATTTTATTGAATGCAACTTATCCTGTATAATAAAAGCCTAATATGCAAATCGACCAAATGGCAGAACGACCGGTGGAATGACTGGTCGCTATGATGCGCACTGACCACCAGGGGGCAGATGCTCAACACAGGAGCTGCCCCAGCCCACAGGCCCCAGGTCAGCCAAGGCGGGTGCCAGTGGGGGCCCCCCAATTACCCCACCAATTGCCCCACAGATCAGCCCTGATCGCTGGCCAGCCCTAGGGACCTTACCCGTGCACAAATTTCGTGCACTGGGCCTCTAGTACCTTAATAAGTTGACTGAAAAACAATGTAGGCAAGAGAACATCAAAAGTTTCTGGAGCCTAGAGGTGCAGAATCCATTTGTTGTATTTGCAGACTGAATTGAGATGGCCTTGCTTGATATAAGTGGAGAACAGTGGATTCCAGCAAAGCCAGGGTGAAGGCTCTGCAGGCTGGGCAGTGGAAGTTCCGGTTGGAGAGGTACATCGCAGCCAAGTTGTGGTGGCCTTCACTGCGAGGCTGGGTGTTTAGGTTTCAGTTTGTAGATAATGAGGAATGAATGGAGGGTATCAGCTAGAGCCAGGTGTGGTGGGGAGGCCCTTTGGCTCTCAGCAGTACTTGGAAGAGGAAGAAGCTGGAAATTAGAGCACCATTTTTGCTACTCTCAGGCCAAAAATAAACCACAACCTCTCCTCATCTCAAGTTGCTGAAACTTGGGCTGCCCCAAAGCCTTGACTCCTCCCTGCTCTCATTCCCAGCTGGCTCAGTTCCCCATCTGGCCCCTGGGTTTATAAGCACCTCAGTCTCTGCTGTCACCTTCAGTAAGGGAGGCTCCTACAAAGAGACTCTGACCAATCTCTACCCAGGAAGAAGCTGAGGACAAGATGATGGCCAGACCATACTGTGTGGTAGTGGCCCTACTGCTGCTAGCAGAGGTCTCCAGGCTGGGAGAAGGAGCTTCTAATCCTGGGTTTGTGGTCAGGATCACCAGAAAAGGCCTCGAATATGGTAAGTGGGTTTGGCCATTCCTCTGGTGCCCATTGTTGCCCATCAAAGTGGTGTAACCAGGACTTTTTAAATCTCAGGTGTGCCCTGCCTGGCTTAGAAACCTTGGCTATGTCACCCTCTGGACTTCAGTTTCCTCATCTTGAATTATCAAAGGTTAAGGGTAGGACTAGATCAGCATTTTTTCCTGGGTGGTCTGTGGAGCCCCACATTAGAATTGCTGAGGCACAATTCTGGAGATTTACCCAAGATTGACTGATGTTGGGCCTAAGAATCTGCATTGTTGACATGTGGTCCAAGCAATGGTGAAAACCCTAAGGTTTGACCACACTATGGGGAATGATTCCTCAAAAGTCCCATTGTATTCCATCATTGCTTCCATGATCTGGTTGAATGAATAAGTAACAATGATTGCCATTTACCAGACACTTTGAGTTCATAATCTAATTTAATTCTCAGGCTCAGGTTGGTATTATTATTATTATTATTACCATTTACATGTGGGGAAACTGAGGTTTATGGAATTTAAGGGACTTTCTTGCAATTATATCAACAGTAAGTGGCAAATCTTGCATTAACCTGGCCACTCAACCGTTATGCTTGGTACCTCCCACTGAAAGAGCTAACCCCCTCTATGTGCCCCCAGCCCGCCAATATGGAATGGCCACCCTGAAGAAGGAACTGTCCACCATCAATGTGCCTGATTTATCAGGAAGCTTTGAAGTCGGTTGGATGGGAAGTGTGAGTTATGAGTTTAAGAGGTGAGGTCTCCATTCTTTACCACAGGGGCAATGGAGGAGGAAAAATGGGGGCCTAAGGTCAAGGGGAAGGGAGATAAACATGGGATCATCACTTGGACTAGAGGCAAAAGGACTATAGACAGCTCTTATGGGGCCTCTGGAAAATGCCATGTGTTTCCTGAATCATCAGGCTGGGAGGGAAACCCTTTGAAATCTTTCACTAGCCCTTAGGTCACCCCTGGATTTTCCCTCTACCAGGAATCCCTGGTACTCTCCTGATTGCCCAGATTAGGAAACGACTTGAGACAAACCATCCATCCCTCCAGAGCCTGGTGGGGGTCTGCAAGCAAGGACTTAGAGTCTTTCTGGAACCTATTCACATTTTATTTGCATGCCATCTCTTGAGGACAGCATCCACACATGTCCCCAATGAGGAATAAAGCAGGGGGCCTCCTGGTCCCTGGTGAACAAGTTCTGATTCCTCATCTCTCTCCCCCAAAGATTTAACTGACCTTATTCTCCCTCCAATTTTCACATATTCAGTATTAGAGTCCTCACTCCTCTCTCTCTCTCTCTCTCTATATATATATATATATATATATATATATATATATATATATATATGTTTTTATTGATCTCAGAGAGGAAGGGAGATTATTGATCTCAGAGAGGAAGGGAGAGGGAAAGAGAGATAGAAACATCAATGATGAGAATCATTGATTGGCTGCCTCCTGCATGGGATGGGGGTGGGGTGGGCGAAGGGCGGAATGGGGACCAAGCCTGAAACCCTGGCATGTGCCCTGATGGGGAATCGAACCGTGACCTCCTTGTTCATAGGTCGATGCTCAACCACTGAGCCATGCTGTCTGGGCTCCTTTCTCTTTTTTCATCCACTCTTTAGTTGCATGGATTTTTCTTCCCCAGCCTCCTCCGTGTCCAGAGTCAGCCCTTGGGGATACTGATAGAAAAGGCTCCTCTTGGAATCCTTCCTGGAGACAATTTCCTGAATACAGTGGGCAAAGAAGAGCTATTTTAAATTTGCGCACGCCCGCGCGCGCGCACGCACACACACACACGCATACACACACACACACACACACAGTCCAGGCCATGCCATTTAGAGGTCAATGCCCCTTCCCATATCCCTAAACCACCTCTTACATCTGGTTTCCACAGTAGGTTACTATGGTCTGTTAACACATCCAGACCTGCCACCAGCTATGAGCTTTTCAAGGGCAGGGACTGAGTTTTGAATCTCTGTGGCTCTGTGCCTACAGCCAGGTCAGACAGAGCAGGATCTCAATGAATGTTCAATGAGGGAACTCCTAAGTATCGATCTGGCAACAGTCATAAACTCCAGTGGCCACAGGGGAGTGGGTAATGTAGATGGGTATTCCAGGCAGAGTGACTATATGCAGTGGGTGGGGATCAGTGGGAAAGAGGGAACTTCAATGGAGGGAATTTAATAGAAGAGCTGAAAAGCCAAATAGGGAATAATGAAGCAACCCAGAAATTAGCAACCACAAAAAGTTATTAACAGACCCAGAGCGGGCAAGACAAAGAGCGGGAAGGTATCCAACAGAGCACAGTAGCTAGGGCTTCAAAGTAGGAGTTAAGAGCATGTCCAGCAGGAGCCAGTCCTAACTAGAAGTCAGTTGCAAAAGATCCTGGGAAATGTAGTTTTCAGAGGTCAGTCACATCCACTATAGGTCAGAGCAAGAGAAAGAGAATGAACCTGAGAGCAAATAGGCAAATTATAAGTATGATGTTTGTCTGGAGGGTATCTGCCCCATTTAAAGGGGGTATGCACTGTAGTTGATTGATGCTGTAAGGAAATAAGAACATTCCCTTTTAACTTTTTCTTTTCTTTAATTGATTTGAGAGAGAGGAAGGGTAAGGTAGAGAGAGGGGGGAGGAGGTAGAGAGAAAGACTGAAACAGCAATGTGAGAGAGAAGCATCTATCTATTGCCTCCCACAGGCACCTCAACCTGGGATTGAATACACAACCCGGGTATGTGCCCTGACCAGGAATTGAAACCACAACCCTTCAGTGCACAGAACAATGCTCCAATCAACTGAGCCACACTGGCCAGGGCTTTTGACTTTTTCAAGAGAAACCAGAATTTTAGTTTAGTTTTGTTTTTCCTCATATGTTTACAAGGAAATGTCCTCATATTTAAATGTTGGCAACTGATTCAAATTGTTAAGAACGTTATAGGAAAACGTTCAGTGCACATATTGATCATATGTTTGGCACACAGATCACCAGGGCGTGATCTCAGACCTAAATTGTGAGCCCTATTTGTATTTGAAGTGTGGGGAGCAGAGCGAGGAAGCTGCCTCCTGGAGACAGGACACATAATGCGAAGCCAGCTCACAGGGTCCTCGCAGTGGTGAGGGTCAAGTGAGCACGACAGAAGTTAACGGGGAGGAGCAGCTAGTGGAGGTAAGTGTCACAGACAAGGGGAAGGTCTTGGGTCTCGAGGGAAATCTTCCTGGAGGAGGGAAAGCCCATGCAGACCTCGTAGGATGTGGGTGCAATGGTTTGGTTGTCCTTTGTGGTTTAAGTCAATAAATCAGAAAGAGAGTGTGAGAGGCTGGAGAGGATTCTGGGGATTTATTCAGAGGACTGATGTGGCCCTAGTTTTTCTGGATTTAATAGTCTGCCTTCCTTCCCTAGCCTGAGAATCCGTAGCTTCCAAATCCGGAACTCCGATCTGAGTCTACTCCCAGGGAGGGGTGTCAGAGCCTCCCTGTCCAATAACTACGTGTCTATCAGTGGGAACTGGAAGGTGAAAAAGGCTTTCATGTAAGTAGTACTTGGGTTAGAATATCTCTCAGCTCTGGGCAAGGGCATGTCCTACTCTGGACTTCCATTTCTGGATTTTTTTTTTTTTTTTTTTATGGAACGCTTCACGAATTTGCGTGTCATCCTTACGCAGGGGCCATGCTAATCTTCTCTGTATCGTTCCAATTTTTTTTTTTTTTAGTATATGTGCTGCCGAAGCGAGCACCATTTCTGGATTCTTAAAACGTCCAATCTATAAAGGGCCCAGATCTTATTATCTCTAAGCCTCAGTTTCATTAGCTGTAAAACAGGGTTAATTATAACCCAACCCAGATGCATTTGTGGATTAAATAAAATGGCAGATGTAAGGTATTTGCAGTGTGTCTGGCGCATAGCGAATACTCAGTAAACACTGGCTGTCTTAGTTAGTGGTAAGAAGAGGCTGTCAAAATAATATAAATGGAGCCACTTGAAAATAGAGCCGGAGCTGCCATGCCAGAGGAACTGCCTTCCATGTTTTATGTCTCAAACCTTTGGAATGTTAAAACAGGGCAAAATAACCTTTGCACCGAGTCTAAAACAATCTTGTGCCCCAAAGAACTGTTTGCAAAGATAACAAGAGAGTAGATACATGACTACTGGACTGATGACTCCTGGAGTTAAAATTAAAAACAGCATTTAGAATGAATATCACTATGTTACATCTTCATCAATAAAATGCCCTCCTTCTATTGACATAGTTGTTCCCCTTCCCTTTCTCACAAATACCCATTGCCTTTGTCTCCTGATTGAAACATTACTTGGGCTTCTGCCTTATCAATGCTTCCTGAGTAGCTATTGGTATTGATCTCAAATAAATGTTTGTTGCCTCTCACCTTGAAAGGCCTTTAGATTTTCAGGTCACCAGGGCTCAGGTAGGATGTGCAGCTGGTCAATGGGGCGCTAAGAGATACGCCTGGGTCTGAGTTCTTCTGGCTCCTCTTTCAGGAGGCCACTGATTACTCACCATTTGGTTCTCATTTCTCCCAACCAGCACCCTACAGGGTACTTTTGATCTGAGTGTGGATGGTGTTTCCATCTCGATTTATCTGAACTTGGGCGAGGATGGGACTGGACGACCCACTGCCTCTGTGGCCCACTGCAGCAACTCCGTTGGCCACGTCAGCATTCACGTTTCTGGAAACCTAAGGTAAGTCACCCCATACACTTGCTGGAAGTTGTCAGAATTGCCTTAGCATCCAGCTTGCCCACAGGATGTCTCTGATGGGCCAGAAGAGCAAGATTTAAGATTCATCAAAATCAGAGGTCAGCCCTGGCTAGTGTGCTCTGTGGTTAGAGCACCAGTCCACAGACTGAAGGGTTGTGGGTTCAATTCCCAATCCCTGTCAGGGCACACGTGAGAGGCAACCAGTCGATGTGTTTCACTCACATCAATGTTTCTCTCTCTCTCTCTCTCTCTCTCTCTCTCTCTCTCTCTCTCTCTCTCCTTTCCAATCTCTCTTTCTAAAGATCAATGGGAAAAAATATCCTCGGGTGAGGATTAAAAAAACAAAAGATCAGAGGTCAGTGAACTAAAGTCTGTGGGCCCAATCCGGCAGGCCACCTGTTTCTGTAGATGAAGTTTCATTGGATCACAGCCACGCTCATTTGTTTGCATTTGTCTCTGGGTGCTTTAGCACTATGTTAGCAGAGTTGAGTAGTTGCAACAGAGACCATGCAGCATGCAATGCCAAAAATATTTACTAGCTGGCCCTTTAAGAAAGTTTGCTCACCTCTTGCAAGACTGCCTTTAGGGGAATTCCAGTATCTCAAAGCTATGTGCCTGGAGCAGATGCTCAGTGAATACTAATGAATGATGGTGACTGCCTCCCCACTCTGTTTTGGTTGCACTGCATCACTCAGATCCTGGCAGGAAACAGAGGGCAACTCAAAAAGCTTAACTGACAAGAATCTAATGAAGAGAATATTCACTGGAGACTAGCAGCAGCAGGGAGCTACTCCCACCCCTAGGGTTGAAGGTAAGAGGAAGGGAAGGGTGTTTCCAGAGCCTGGAAAGAGCTGGAACCTTGGAGAAGAGCTCTGAGACAGGAATATAGTGGGACAGCAGGCGGAGGGACCTGGGTGTAAATATCCCAACTCCTCTCTCTTTCCTACCTGTGTCTCCCTTTGGCCAAAACAACTAGAAGCCAGAGAGCAAGAAGGCTTGAGAGATGAATCTGCACATGTCAACCCCAGGATGCTACCTGCAGAACCCCAGGAAGCTCTTGTGTCTAATGTTACCACATCAACTTATAATACACATACATTTCTAATACATACCACTAATCATTCAACCAACAAGCATCGAATGGTCAAGAAAACTTTATGGGAGAAAAATTTTTGCTGGAAATAATTCCACTAACGCAGTTCACTTATTTCCCTCAACCTCTCACCCTCACCCCCAGGTGAGAACACAGTGTGAGAGGCTCTGTTCGGGGCCATGATTCTCAGAGTGGTGTCTGTGGTTGGGAGGGGCTCTCGGTGGGCAGCTTTACCTGAAGTGGGTTAGACTCACAGCCTGAGCACCATGAGGTTATTCAGCAATGTCCCTCCACACCTACCTTAGCAGGTAGAAGGGGCTCAGTGCACGTTTGCCAAATGAAGGAATGAGTGAATGATTAATTGCTAAGTGGCCAGATAAGTTGTGTGGTGGATTTTGCAGGGTACAAAGACTAGGTCTTACTCTCCTTATCATAACTTTAAAAATGTAAATGCTTCTGAGTTCATTTGCATAGTTCAAAATTCAAAAAGTGCAAAGAGTACAGAGTGAAACAACCAACTCTCTTTGCCAGGGCAACCAATATTAAGTGTCTAATGTCTTGTTCCTGAGTGTCTATGCCTGAACACTTAGATATTTTACTACTTTATGTTAACACAATTGGTAGCATGCTACAGTACAGAGAGTGGTATATCCCTAGCTCGCCTTACTTCACTATGTCTTTGTAAGCTCTTCCACACCTGAACATAAGAGCTTCCTTTTCAAAGTACTCCATTATATGAAGACACTAAAATGTAATAATTAGTCCTCTATTGATAGACTTCTATTTTTAGTGTAAGGGGTTTTCTTCCAGTCTTTCGCTACTACAAACAATGCTACAAAGGATAACCCTGTGCATAATATCATTTGGCATCTGGACAAATAAGTTATAGAATAAATATTTAAATGGTATGTGCATTTTGTCATTTTAACATATACTAACAAATTGCCCTTGCCGTGGTTTGCTGGTTAGTGGCTGTTTCCCCCCATTACCATCAACACAGCATATTATCAAAGATTTAGCGTTCTGCCAGTCTGAAAGGTGAGAGTATGTCAGTATCCAAGGGTCACCCACCCTTGGATTAAATTCACCTGGCTGCGATGTTCTTGGGATAACATGGGGAAGGTTAAATCTATGGGTAGCCTTCTTCTTGGAAATCTCAGTTCATCGTAAAGTGGATCTTGACCCTCTTTCCTCTTTTCTTCAGCTGGATCCTGAACCTCTTCCATAGAAGAATTGAAAACAAGTTAAAAGATATCTTGAAACAAGAGGTAAAGAAAGGATAAGTAGATTTTCCATTAAAAATCATTGACAGGTGCATATTTGATATTTGGAAACAGTCTTGTCTTTTAAGTAGGTTACCATTTGAATTTGCTTAAAACAACCTTACTCATTTGTGGTGCAAAGGCAAACCTCAAGGCTTTTCCCAGTGTGAATGATCACATATGCTAAATTGGCATTTGAAACTGACAGTGTTTGATATCTAGTTGTAGATAATATTAGAGAGATATGGAGAAGTGGCTTTGGATCCCTGCCTCACACCATACACAAAAATCAATTCCCAATGGTCTAAGGATTTAAATGCCAAAACAAATCGAAACTTTTTAGTAGATAAACCTAGGATATCTTTCTCACCTTGAGGATAGGAAAATGTTTTTTAAATAAGACTACCCCCTCAAAAAAAAGGCATCATATTGAGAACCGCACTGGAGTTGGCCCTCAGTATCTCTCACCTCTGGAAAAGGCCTTGGCCTTGGAGGCAAAGAGGTACCTCTTACATTTACCCTTTGTGTATATTTGGACAAATCGACACACATCCTGGAGCATCAGAGATGGAGTAGGAACAGCTGGAATTAGAAAAATCACAAGACTAAGGGCTTCTGGGATCTCCCAAGCTGTAATTCTTGGCTTACAGAGGAGTAAATTGGCCTACTGAGGAATACAATTCTGGAGCAGACCCTCCATCTGGCTTTACTTTGGAGCCCTCTGGTGGCCATAGTTAGTACTGCCCACAGACCAGGCACCATGCTCCTTGACAGATTCGCTGATGACAGAAACCCCAGTAGGTAAAGGAGGCAAAGGGGCTGGGGGATGGGGTGGCAGAACCTCTAATTCAAGAGCTGCCTCTTGTACCTAGAAGCTCTTCTGCTTTGTCCCTCTGCTCTCTAATATCAGCCTTTATGTACTACATTGCTTGCCACTCAGCTGCCAGAAAACCATGACAGCGGTGGCCGTAGGGCAGTGCTGACTTGACCACCATCCGCTGTAACTGGGTTCTAGGAACTTAAATTGGGCCCATCTGTCTGAGAGGCCAGCCCAAGTGGGACAATAACCAGGTGTTGATGGGGGTAGTGGTCTCTTCTTCCTTTTCACCATATTCTCTCCCTCCCCTCACATACCTACCTACCAGGTGGGGATATAACACACAGTCCCTAGAGTGGAGGAGGCGGGAGGAGGGAGAAGGAAGGACTTGCCTGACTTTCTCACCCACTTTCTCGGCAGATCTGGGAAATCGTCAGGACGTCAACATCCTCACACCTGGAGCCCTATCTCCGGACTCTGCCAGGTTAGGAGCCCCCTCGCTTCTCAGGTGCCATCAGATGTCATGGTACCCAGTAGCCCTGGAACCCCCACCCCCTCAAGAGCCCTTGGAGAATTTTCCCCATTAGGTATCGCTCCATCTTACAGAGTTAGATATGGGATGACCCCCTCTTGGCGGGGGGGGGGGGGGGGGGGTCTGTTCTCTAGAGGTCGGGGAGTAAGGTGATTAAGGGTGTTGACTCGCAAACCTGCTGGGAGCACAAGGTGGGCAGAAAATTAGGAATATGTGGGAGAATCATGTGTTTGCTTTTACAAAACAGGGGTGCCCTGACCTCCCTGTGCAGGGCTGGGGACCCTACTAGCCCTGGCCCTCTGGCTGACACAGGTACCTTTTACAATCACACATCAGGTCAGGTCTCCCCCTCTTCTTGAAACCTATCAAAGACTCCTCCGACTCTCAGAAAAATGGGCCAGCTGTGGGGGACAAGGCCACCACAGCACTGTCTTCAGCTTTACCTTGCTCCCGTCCCCAACTCAGCCAGCCACTCTGGTCCCTAGTCATCCCTCTAATATACAGTGCTCCATAACATTGCAAGATCTCTGCACATACCATTCCCTCTGCCAGTGCCTTCCTCCACATTTACCCCCCTTCACCAGTCAACACCTGCTGTTCCTTCAGATCTCAGCCAAAGCAACGCCTCCTCTGGGAAGTCTTCCCTGACTCCCTGTGCGAGTCACTTTACCCCCTGTTATATGGCTGGCGCCATCCTGTGGACTTCTATTTAACATCTAACATACTAGCAATTGAACATTTATTTCCTTGAGTATTTGATTTTTTCCTCCTCTGGACTTATGCTCAGTAAACACTGAATTAATGAATGAATCAATGAATGAATGAATGAATGAATGAAGTACTCTCTCTGTGACAGAAGATACATAGATATGCCCCAGCCCATTTCCATTCACCAAAGGCTACAGTCCATGTGAAAGGAGCTCCCAGTATAGAATTTGCACAACTGTGTTTAGCCACTGTTCACAATGCTGCCTCTTTCCCATTCCATAGTCACCTTGATGATTGACCAGGTTGCTGGCATTGACTACAGTTTAGTAGGAGCTCCCCAGGTGACCTCCCAAGGCCTGGACACGCCCTTCAAGGTAAGGGGTTGTGGGTAAAGGGTCTTGGAGCTGAGAACTGGCAGGAAATCAGCTCCACCTCTCAGAGTCAGCTCCTACCCTCCCTCTCCAGTCCACCTGCCTGTCAGTCCACATCCTTGACCAGGGCCCACAATGGGCAGATGTGATACTCAGCACTGCAGAGCAAAACCGAAAACAAGGTTTCTGAACCAACATGGTAAATCTCTCTGGAGTCCAGAGAGACCTGAGCTTGAATCCTGGCTCTGTCCCTTATGTGGTGGGGAACCTTGTAAGAATTAACCTCTCTATTACATTGGAATACTAATAGTCTTCCCCATAAAGTTGCCATAGGGATTAAGTGAGATGTGTATGAAGTGCTTAGCAAGTGCCTGGCACACAGCACATATATAGGGTAGCATTGTTATCACTATCTGCCCACGTCTATAGTAGACTGAAGAATGGCTCTCTAAAATGTCCATGTCCTGACAGAGTGCGGAATCTCGAGGGAAGGCAGGGAGGTGGTGGGTGAGTGGAAATGATCAACAAGACTTGTATGCATATATGCATAA